CACACTAAGACTTGGTTCTCATTTGAACCACATCCTATATATATATATATATATATATATATATATATATATATATATATATATATATATATATATATATATATATATAATTGCTAGAAAATCATTATTCGAAATCTAATAAAAGAAACTAATAAATTTTACGTATTTGGCATTTTCCTCTAATAATTGTTACAAGCCAATATTATTATTATAATTATTTTTACATTAATCCACCTTATCCCATTAATGATATAATATTTCCTTGTACTTTTTTTTTAGGTTAATTAAGACAAAAATCTTTACATTTTATATTAATTGAGTAATAATTATATTTTTTATTGTATCATACAATAGTTATTTTTAAAATTAATAATTATATTTTACACTAAATGATATATGAAAGTTGTTGTTATGGTAATTTTACCGGAGTAGAATCGAGAGATTCGAACACCGGGTCGTATCTCAAGGAAGGTCAGCCGGATTATTTGTACGAATATTCAATCACACGAAAAGAGAAAATAATCCTAAACACTCTAATTCAATTGGTTGGTTTCGATTATCAACTACGAGATTAACTACTAACGATTCTCAAATAAGCAATTTCAATTTCACATCCCAAAGCACAATTCAAATAATGATAAAATGGACTAGGGTGTTGGGGACAATCATTTCTGGTTCTCAATGCATTAAACGCAATCGATCACTCGGTTAAAGAACTCGAAAAACTAATTCATCAAGAGGTTCATTCTCAATAACTCATGTAACAAGAGAATTAGACATAAACGAACAATCATCGAATCAATTAACACATAGACAATACGTTTCCGAACAAGTCTATTCTAAACGAGCCAAGATCGATCGATTTCTCCCCTTTCGGTTTTAAAATTGATTAAATAGATTAGGATGGTGATCAATCATCTAACCCTAGGTATAACACAACTCGTTTAGATTGAGCAATCAAAGTACACACAAACGAAATTGAATCGGAACAATTATCCCCCAACCCTAGCTATGAATTTAGCCACTCATTGCAATTTCAACACAACAATCCATAATTAAGCAAGCCATCAAATCCATACACAAAATGAAAAGAAATGCTTACGATTAATAGTGAATCCAATGTCGGAAAGCAACGAACAATCCAAATCCACAAGTCCAATCTTGGAGTTTTCACTATCCAAGGTTGAATCTCAATAAAAACTAAGAGAAAATTGAGTTATGGAAGTTAAAAAACGAAAATACAAAGTCTGGAATGCCCTAACATATGCCCTATCCCCGAGCTGTATCCTTCCTGTTTCGAAATTCCCTAAAACTCGCGACTGTTAAAAAACAGACCTTAGCGGCGCTAAGGTGCCGTAGCGCCGCTAAGGCATCTTATTTGTTCGCGTCTGAAGCCGCTAAGGAATATAGCGCCGCTAGCCTGGCTAACCTTAGCGGCGCTAAGGCTCTGACAGTCCATGCATTTCGGGTCCGTTTGGGTTCGTTTCGACTCGGAATTTGATTCCGCTTTTCCTGTGTTTTTCCAATGAACTCCTCTATTTAATTACGCATGCCCGACTAATTTTCGCTTGAAATCCGATCCTCCCGAGGCTTCCGACCTACACACCAAAAACAAAGAAAAATCAGAAAAATATACGGAAAACACATAAAAAAAACCAAAAATAGAGCAAAACATGCAATAAACTACAAAACGAACTAAAAACCAACAAAAAGACGTGATATGAGGGAAAAAGAAAGGCAAAATGACAACGAAAGTCACAACAAAAATGGGACAAACAGTTGCATAAACATAAATGATTATATTGTAGAAACTTTTTGTTCAAGTTATTTATTCTAAAATTAATATTATATTTTTTATCGAATTAAATGATTGTTTTTTAAATAAATTAATTTATTTTAATGTCATAGCCAAATTTCTTAAAATCGCATATTTTGTTTGTTGTGAAAGACTAACTTTTACATTAAATGATATAATAACCTCTTGTTTGTTGTGAGAGACTAACTCTTGGATAGTGTTGGTGCTTATTTTGATCTTGCATTTGTTTGGTAGGAGTAAACATAAGGTAAAATATAAATTTTTAATTTTACCATTGCATCCTTTTCTCAAAAATTATGGTACGTAGGAAACTTCATTTACTACTATTGCTATTTCTAGATTTCCCTAATTATATTTAGAAAAAAGATTTGAGAAAAGTAGAGTTCAACAATTCCACAATTCTTGAAAACGGCTGAGCCGATTCTGAGTCATGGTCGACGTTCTGAAATATGTCGCCCAAGGGTGAGTTTTTTTATGTTTTATATTTCATTTTCAGGTTTTTTTTTCCACTCCGTTTTTTCTTTTTCTTTTCGTTAACTTTACAAGGATGCTATTTTTAATTTGAAATGTTGTTTGTTGGNAGGATGCTATGTTTAATTTAAAATGTTGTTTGTTGGAGCTTGTTTATAGTATATTTTGCAAAGATGTGATATTTAATTTGTAATGTTGTTTGTTAAATCTTGTTCTATCAAATATTATGACCTTTCTTCGAAGTTGACTTTTGTTTGTGGTTTGGGTCTGACCAAATAAGTAGAAGATTAATAAATGATACAAATCCTTAAAAAATCAATTGCGTGGTGATTAATTGGGGTAGCCTGGCACATCTCTTCATAATAAATGACACTCATCATTAGTTTTGGCTTGTGAATCTCGATTTCGTTCCAATGGTTAGTGGGTTTTTCAAAATTTTCTTTTAATTTATTTTAATTACCATGGTGATGATGAAAATGTAATTTATGTCCAACAACTAGGTGGTTGAGAAAATTTGCATCAAGATTTGTAGTTGGATTGTACAACTTATGCTTGGAATTAACAAAATAAAATAGAATTTTAAATTAAATTTTAAATAGATTATGTAGTTAAATTTGATAATTAAATGAAATTTATTTTAGAATTTTAGAGTTGACCTTTTTAACACTAAATTACATTTTTTAAAAATAAAATTTCTATAGATTAAAATACCATGCATTAAGATTTCAACTTCAATTGAGATTTATAAAATCTATATATAAAATTGCTAGAAAATCATTAAATAAAATCTAATAAATGAAAATAATAAATTTTACGTATGTGGCATTTTCCTCTAATAACTGTTACGAGCCAATATTATTATTATAATTACTTTTTTACATTAATGCACCTTATCCCATTAATGATATAATATTTTCTTGCACTTTTCTTTTAAGTTAATTAAGACAAAAATCTTTACATTTTATATTAATTGAGTAATAACTATATGTTTTATTGTATCATATAATAGTTATTATTAAAATTAATAATTATATTTCACATTGAATGATATATGAAAGTTGCATAAACATTAGATTATATTGTAAGAATTTTTTGTTCAAGTTATTTATTCTAAAATCAATATTATATTTTTTATCTGATTAAGCGATTATTTTTTAAATAAATTAATTTATTTTAATGTCATAGAAAAATTTCTTAAAATCGCATAAACAATTGTTATAATAAATTTAATATTTTTCAGCTAATTAATTTTTCATGATCCCTCAAAATTAGAAAATTCACATTATTTATTACATTTCATGTAATCAGTATAGTGACTCATATACAATCAAATTGTTATGTACTATTTGTTTTAACCAATGATCAAATTTTAAAACATAATATCATTCTAACTTATAATTTTAATATTACATGCATAAATATAACTCATAATACTCTATGTTTAAAATATAATACAATTATCTAACTTATAATTTTAATATTATATATGCTTACAAATAACTCATAATACTTTATTTAAGTTTGTGCAATTGCACAGTGTCAAATACTAGTATATAAAATAACTAATTTATAAATTAATACCACGTGTTAACAAATAAGTATCATGCATTAAGATTTAAATTCACTTGAACACTACTATGCATTCTTTTGGACTAAATTAATGATGTGTAAAAGCAACATAATGTTGTGTTGTATGCATTGTTTTAAAACGCGTATAGCGGAATGCGTGTCGTTTTGGTCTTTATAATGTGTAACGTAAATAGCATTGCGTGTTGCGTAAGTTATTGGGGTATAAAAATTTATTTTTATTGGAATATTATATATATATATATATAATAAAACTGGATGGTTAATTTTAAAAATTATCATAATATCTGAATGGATTCAAAAATAACATTTAAAAATTATTTATCACAAACATTAATGTAAATATCTAAATATGAATATGTAAATAATAAAGGAAATACACTAAAAAGTAAAATCAAACAACGAAAATATACTAAGGTAAATCATAGTTTAAGTATGTACATTTAATTTTTTTTTTTAATTTAACTTCTACAACTTAATTGTAACCACTAGATTTGAACTTTTTATTTTTCAATTTAAATGTTAAATACTGAAAAGTAAAATGATATAATAGAATTAGACTGATAAATATTGCTCTATTCAACTTAGAACTTTGCATTTTCAAACTTTTAATTTGAAGTCATTATCAAAATTTTTAGTTTTTAGTTGTTATAAGAAGTATAAGTTTTTGAATAATTTATTGTTTAAATTTAAATGTCGTTGCCGAAATATAGCACAAAATAATACAAGATAGCGCAAATTAGCGTAAAACACGTCTCATTTCAACATTTCGCATAAGCTTTTCAGGAAAAACGCTAACTATATAACAATAAGTAGCGTTTTTTTTTTTTTTCTTTTGAAAAAAAGCACTATAGCGAGCTACATAGTGCTATATTTAAAACAATGGTTGTATGTTCTTCATACCCATTTTTTTGTGACGTTAAACTAATAAATAAGATACACATCTGGTAATAAATAATAGTACTTAGAATTCATAAATGAGGCACAACCAAAGTTACTAAAAAACATATTGATAAGTTACTTAAAACAGGAGTCCAAATCAATTGCAAAAAAATTCATAGAAAGTACATATTTAATTTTCATAACCAAAAGCACCAAATTATCCATAATTGATTAGTTCAACCGTCTAAAAGGGGTCCTCTAAAATGAGGAGAACCATTGACCATTTCGCATATTCTTTGAGGTTGAAAAAAAGATCAAGTTCCTCGTTGTTTTTGCATAAATATTTCGTAGCAAATAACTTCTCGTCGGTCGACAATGGAGGGATAGATTCGAGAGCCTCATAATCCACTTTGCGTTGTTCCTTCGCATATTGTTGAAAATCGACCCGTGAGACCAATTGCGAAAGGCGTTCATCCGTTTTTTCAACTAAAGCTGAAAAAATATTCACCAACGTATCCTCGTCTTGTGCAAAGCGTTACATTTTACTCTGACTCTTGCCCCCAGATGCGTTACTCTCACCCATGTGTGTTGAAGAACAATCCATTTCATTATCATCGGATTAATGGGACTAGGGGTGGACTCTTGTTGCCTAACTTTGTTTGGTTGAGTTGGATTATCCGCATTGTGTAACACATCATTCACGGCATCAACAAACCTAATAGCTCCTATTCCCGTTGGCCAATCTCTACTGAATATTTCTACCTAATCCGCGTAAAGTGGCCATGACCTGTTTCTCAAAGGCCTGGCCCTATGGTGGGCCTCATAAATTTATTGATTGAATTTTTCATTAATTTGGAACACTTAAAATTTAAAGGAACAAAATCTATATAAAAAATAGAAAAATAATGTGCACCCACGCAATAATACCTTAATGTACGCTTGCCACACATGGTCGAGAACTTCTACCGTGTTACCCGCTTCACTCCAACCAAAGTCGAATGTCCCCATCATCTCCACTCTGTCATTGTAATTTTTTTTCCACATGATTATCTTGGAAGAAATATGTGGTTAGGCTTTGATGTTTGAGCCCGACACACTTTGTCAAATATGGTGTTCCAACATTGTGTGCACCCCAAACGGAAGTCATTGTCACACTTCCATCATCTCGCAACAAGATCTTTCAAACCATGCACTAACGCAAGTTCCTCATCAGCTGTCTAAAGTCGACGAGTAGTGCTTGTAGTCGCATTACGTTCCACACTTGCACTTGATTCCATCACTAAAACACGCACACACATGACTATTAATGGTTCTTAAAAAAATATCCATATTGTTAACAACTCCTAAAAATGAATTGTCACCATCAATAATAGGAAACACAAATATTAAACACTATATCAAAATAACACTCTAAGTTGGTTATATACCAAAACAAGCATGTTCTCAGTTTGAAGTTCTAAAACATGAAAAATGAAACACAATATTGAGTCACAATGTCTACATAGAAGCGATGTCTAGAAAAATCAATCTCATTCAATTAAAAAAAATCATTGTTCACCCGCTCATTCATTAAACATTGATATTGCAAGTGCAGCCCTCCAATTGACTCATTCTTGGGCCGGCTCCACAACATCTACATAATCGGTAGGATCTATATGTTCTTGTGTTTGGGAGTCATTCATTTCATCATCACACTCCCCGTCCAACGGGTCACATTCATACTTGAACAAATGAATATATTTGTAGTTTAAGTTGGTCAAATGTATCATAATTTTAAAATTGTTAGTAGGGATGAATAGAAGTTCATATCTACTCGTACTAATGCAAAACAAACACATAAGATTGCGAGTCATCATATCCGTAACATAGGACTACGAATCATTGCAAATCGGCACATAACATTCTACATTAAAATATAGACAGAGGTTTAGAAGAAGAATAGTTTTTTCTTTGTATAAAGTGATATAATCATTCGGTACATAACACTGCTAGAAAAAAAACCCATCCACTTAATTTAATGCAAACTATATTATAAAGACAACTAGTACTCGATCTTGTGCACATACACAAATGCAAATATAATTTTATATATTATATGTGTGTATGAAATATTTAAAATTATAAGTTATAAATATAAACTATTTAACTCATACAAATTGTTATACTAATTGCAATAATATAATTTTACAATCTTAGATGATTATGACCAATTATTTAGATAAAACAATATTGAATTTTAAGCCGTAAGTTTTCTACATCAAACCTGTAGATCCGCTACGCATAAGTTTACGTTTGTTATTGAATTCGTGATTTGTACATAACGAGATTCTCATAGATTCCAACACCAAGGGAAGTCCCAGATACTAATAAAAAGCCCATCCCTAACCTTGAACCTCATTCCTAGACCTAAAGACTCTCTTGCACTCATCCAACTTTTCCACAACCAAAAGTCATTATTTTTAGCAGTGACTTCCATGAGCTTAGCCCCCAGAAATACCTTCCTCTCATGACCCTACTAACTAACAGATTGGGTGAAGTAATGAGACTTCAAAGTTGTTTGACAAGAAGAGACTCATTGTAAACCCTGAGATCCCTAAACCCTAACCCCCCTGACTCTTTAGATCTAGACAACTTTCCCCACTCAGCCGAATGTATCTTATTCCCACCACCCTCAGTTTTTCCCCATTAGAAATTAGCAATATCTTTACAAATCTAATTAACAATGCCTATGGGGACTCTAAAGCAGGACATCACATAGGTGGGTAATGCCTGTAACACCGATTTTATCAAAGTCTCTTTGCCAGCCTCACTGAGAAACTTGTTTTTCCAACTCTTAAGCTTATTTTGAACACACTCAACAACAAACAAGAAAGTGTCCTTTTTAGATTTTCTAATCCCCAGAGGGAGTCCAAGATATTTAGAGGATTTGACTCTAGAAATACCATACAAGATAAAACAGACATTCAATTGAGTTACCTCAAGAGTATTTTTAGAGAAGAAAACAGAGGGTTTCTCAAAGTTAGCTAATTGTCCAGAATCATTGCCATAACAAACAAGCATGTCAACAATCAGGTTTGCATGAGAGTAATCAGCTTTACAAAATAAAATTGAGTCATCAGCAAAGAAAAGATGTGACACAGAAGGAGTATGCTTACCTATTCTAATACCTTTGAAAGCACCATAAGAACAAGCTTTGAGGACAAGATTTGAGAGGGCCTCAGAAACTAGAATGAACAAATAAGGTGACATGGGACACCTCTAAGGCCCCTAGTTGGATGCAACTTATCAAGGACAGAACCATTAATATTGAAAGAGTAGGATGTAGAGCAAATACAAGTAAGTATCCAAGATATGAAAGTCTCACATAATCCCATTTTCCTACAAAAACTCGTAACTCTGTCATATGCTTTTGCCATATCAATTTTATTGCCATATAATGCTGGTTTCTTTTTACGGAAAATTCAAGTTAAATCCTTCCTTCCCTTTTCATCTTCATTGTCAGTCCCTAGCATAAAATTTGTTCCTCTGCACTCCCTAATTTTAATTTCTTTTTCTAAATCACTCCCCATATATATAGTAATGATATTATTTTTCATTTATTTTGTCTCAAACATAAAAAACCTTTCTCTCTCTCTTCGTTTTCGTTTTTGCTCTCTCTCTTCGTTCTCCTTGCATCGCCGTCTCTCTCTCTCTCAAAATTGCATCGTCAATCGTCTCTCCCTTTCTGAAAATTCCATCGTCGATTATCTCTTTCTCTCTGAAAATTACAAAATGTAAGAAGAAATGAAAAAAAAGATAAGAAAAAACACCGGGACTCCCCAGATCCCCAATTCTTAAAAAATATAATCTCAAATTCGTGAGTGATGTTCATCCATCTCCTCATCTTCTGCTCCATTTTTCGATTCAAATCACTGCTCCATCTCTCATCTTCTTCCTCGTCCCTTCATTCATCATCAATCACGGCGGCTAATTTTTCGTCCTCCTCCCAGAGCTCGTCCGATTTTACCCCCGCGCATCCGTTTACAGTGGCCGGAGGATCATCTGCGCATCGATGCCCCGGGTTCGATCTGTTGGTAAACGCGATTCACCAGGTGGAGGAGGCTGCAGCAGGATCTGGAGTTTGGCATCCTGGCCTTCCTTGCTTGTTTCACCTTCACAGACTCTGTATGGTAGCTTGAAGAAAATTATCTTGATTTTGTACTTAATTCTGATTAGAATATTAGTTTACGTTTTACATTAATAAAACCTCCCTCTCTTTTGCACTGATCACTTTGTGCAATCTTAGCCCAATTTTGTTGGTAGTTTTACACTCATGACTCATGAGTGACATTATGGAGCTGTGTCATTAGATAAAGGATAAAATCTTGAAAAAGAAGTCATGGAATGAGTTTTCTGATCTGTAAATGTGGTGGTATTGGTTGTTTATTTATTTTGTGTGTATGTATGTGGTGGTATTGGTAGAACTTTTTGACATATTTGTGCAAGGTCCCTTTTGACTTAAAGTTCTTGGCTATTTGTTTCGATATTTTTTTATGTTCATATACTCTGGTGATCGTGAAATGCGTTGAACACATTGCGCTATGAAAACTTGTGCAGGTCAAAAGATATTTTATGCATAGTTCTCGAGGTGTTTTGAATTGGGGATGTTCGTTATCATTTTCTATCTGCTTGGAATTCGCCTTGAACAAAATCTTATGTTGACACTGAAGTGGTGCATGCTATGAGCCGATTTGGCTTATTATGTAGTTCTATTGATGATTTATCCTCATTTATAGGGGGTCTTTATAGGGAGTAGTTCTGTTTAGTGGGTGCAATTGATTACATGAAAACACACATGCACCTCTGTTGGTGGGGTCTTCAATATTAACATTGTGTATTGGAAATTTGTATTGCAATCATGCCCTTGAAAACAGTTAAGTATGATCCTTGATAAGAATAGCAGTGTATCATTTTCTCTTATTGTTACAGTTGCATTGATCAACACCATGAAATGCAATATCAATGTTTTCACCGTTCATGCTAAGCATGAATGTTGTTTCTTTATTTTTGTTGTGGTTGCTTATCGTGGCAGATGGCATCCACAGTGACATATTCTATAGATTCAATTTGTTTATTATGTCTCACGAGCTGCTTTGAAAAGAAAATGGGTGCTTAAGAGCCACCCGGAACATGTTGTATTCAACCACTCAGTTTTAGAAGTCACACAATTTTTTCTTTCTTTGCATGCTGTGATAATATTGGTGGATGATTGGATCTTATCAATGTGTTGAATTTTGGACTTTTTCCTTTACTAGTGATAAATAAAAGGGCATATGTTCTATTGGGAATCTAATTCTGATCAAAGTGATGAATTTTTGCAGTTTTTCAGATTTTTCTGCACAAAACCAAAACTGAGCCGTGTTTTCGGTAACTGAAACTCGTTTATCGACTACTAGTCTGTTCGGTTTCGGTTTCGATCTTGTGCTTTAGTGTTACCGAAACTATCGACTACTACACTTCATCTTATTGAATGACACACTTCATTTCATTGAATGATGAGAAAAAATGACGATTCTAAAACAGTACCTATTTTAGCAAAAATAGTACCGCATCTTCTTCTACGTGGTACCTGTTTTTTATCGATTGGTACCTACTTTTGTGAAGGAAAATGGATTATTTCAATTTTGGTCAACATTTACAAAAAGTAGTACCAGAAATAGAGTGAGATAGTACCAGTTTTATATTGTTGTAGTATTTGATATTGGGTCTTTAGTACCACTTGTAATGAACACAGAAAAAAATCGAATTTCGGTCTCAAATGATGTTTATATGATCCATAATCACTCTCACATTCATTTCTATGAGATTTAAAATGTTTTTAATCGAGTTTAATCGCAAATTGTTCATGAACTCGACACACTAATCAGAAAACATTATTAATACACTTTTTTTTTTCAACCAAATCACGCGTGAACGATTCATTTAGTATATTAATTATTAATTCTACCTATATTAATCAATATTTTTTAACCAACTCTGACGAACATAAAAAACGGGTCTTCAGTACCAACTCCTACGAACGTAAAAAAAAAAAAAAAATACCGATTTTTGTAAAATAGTACCTACTTTGATGCAAATAGTACCACTTTTTTTTTCCGCGAAGTACTAGTTATTGATCAATTAGTACCAACTTTTGGTCAAAGAAAATAGACTATTCAATTGTGGTCAACATTTGCAATAACTGGTACCAGACCTGGAGTTAGAGAATACCAACTTTTGGTGTTTTAGTACCAGATATCGGGTCTTTAGTGCCAACTCCGAAGAACATAATAAAACACCAAATCTCGGTCTCCAATGATGTTTATATGATCAATAATCATTCTCACATTATTTCCTATGAGATTTATAACGTGTTTAATTAAGTTAATCGCAAATTGGTCACAAACTCAACACACTAATGAGAAATTACTACAAAGACACTTCATTTCATTGAATGACACACTTCATCTCATAGAATCATCATACATGTTTACTCTAAATTCTACCTATATGTTTTAACTTCCACTATTTTTCATCCAAATCACGCGTGAACGATCCACGTGTCATGGTAGACATGAAAGATTAGAGAAATTACAATTCTTAAAATAATACCTGTTTTAGCCAATATAGTACCACATCTTCTTCTACGTGGTACCTATTTTTGATCAATTAGTACCAGCTTTTGGTCAATGAAAATGGATTATGCAATTGTGGTAAACATTTGCAATAATTGGTACCAGACGTAGGGTAAGATAGTACAATCTTTCGGTGTTTTAGTACCAGATATTGGCAGGTTAGTACCACTTCTAATGAACACATAAAAACACCGAATTTCGGTCTCAAATGATGTTTATATAACCAATAATCACTCTCACATTCTTTTCTATGAGATTTATAACGTGTTTAATTAAGTTTTATCGGAAATTGGTCACAAACTCAATACACTAATGAGAAATCACTACAAATACACTTCATTTCATTGAATGACACACTTCATCTCATAGAATCATCATACATGATTATTTCAAATTCTACCTATATGTTTGACTTCCACTATTTTTCATCCAAATTAGGCGTGAACGATTCACGTGTCATGGTAGACATGAAGGATTAGAGATATCAAGATTCTTAAAATAATACTTGTTATAGCCAATATAGTACCGCATAATCTTCTACGTGGTACCTGTTTTTTATCAATTAGTACCAACTTTTGGTCAACGAAAATGGATTATTCAATTGTAGTCAACATTTGCAATAATTGGTACCAGACCTAGAATATAATAGTACCAGCTTTCGGTGTTTTAGTACCAGATATCGGGTCTTTAGTACCACTTGTAACGAACACATAAAAACACTGAATTTCGGTCTCAAATGATGTTTATATCACCAATAATCACTCTCAAATTAGTAGAGATTTAAAATGTTTGAAATTGAGTTCAATCGCAAATTGGTCATGAACTCGACACACTAATAAGAAAACACTACTAATTCGCTTCATTTAATTGAATGACACACTTCAACTCATAGAATCATTATACATGACTACTCCAAATGCTACCTATATGTCTTAACTTCCACTATTTTTCATCCAAATCACGCATGAACGATCCACGTGTCATGGTAGACATGAAAGATTAGAGAAATCACGATTCTTAAAATAGTACCTGTTTTAGCCAAAATAGTACCGCATCTTCTTCTACGTGGTACCTGTTTTTTGATCGATTAGTACCTACTTTTGTGAACGAAAATGGATTATTTCAGTTTTGGTCAACATTTACAAAAAGTAGTACCATACTAGAGTTAGATAGTACCATTTTTGTATTGTTGTAGTACCTGGTATTGGGACTTCAGTACCACTTGTAATGAACACATAAAAACACTAAATTTCGGTCTCAAATAATGTTTAAATAGACATATTTTATATAATTTTGCACAATTTAAATGGTAGTTTAGTACCCAATATCGCGTCTTCAGTACCAATTCCAATGAACATAAAAGAAGGTCGAATTTCGGTCTTAAATGATGTTTATATTACTCAAAATCATTTATACATTATTTTCTATGAGTATTTGAATGTGTTTAATTAAGTTCACTCGACAAGTGGTCATGAACTCAATAAATCTTTAATTTTGAAATTTAGAAATATTTTGTTTTAATTTTAGGTAATTTTCATTTTATGAAAACAAATTTGTCTTTTAATTTCAATATAAACAAAAATCATCCCTTAATATATCAACAACTCCATATTTATTGCAATTAAATCACTTAAGCGACACTTTCCATATATGAAACTGATAAACATGATATATCACGCATTAAATTGGTTGATATCCTATCATAATATTTATTTATTTTCTTTTAAAAAAAATAAATGATGTGTTTAATTTTCCATAAATAAATATTTAAAATTGTAGTCCTTCTCTACGCACGGGGTTTCACAATAAATAATATAATCTTGCCTTGACGGTCAATTATATTGAAATTATATTCTTTTTAGTGTTTTAAAATGTTTATAACTTAATTCGTCGCGTTTTGGCTCTTATACTACGCAGCGTAAATAGAAATTCGTGTTGTGTAAGCTATTAGAGTATAAAATTTTGTTAGAAATACCAAATATTTGCATATAATAAAACTGGGTTGTTAATATTAATTTTTTTTTAAATAATATTATGACACTAAATTTTACAATAAGATAATAGTTGAGTATTATGATTAATAAATTGAGTGCGGTTTTATTTTGGAATGAAATGTCCAAATTTAAATGATACGAGTTTCATATGGTATGGATAGAAGTGTATTTAATTTTGAAAATAAAATAATGGGATGAATTTTATTTGGTATGGGTATGAAAGTCGAATTTTAGGTCGATTTATTATAAAATCAAGGTAATATAATTCTCAATTTTAGCATATCCCTATAACAACTTGTCATAAGATATTATTGATAATTTTATAAATCGCCCCTATGTATAATTTCTGAATGTCACGAGCTTAAGCGGCAGACTCATATGCTTCAGAAGTTTATTTGACATAATTATATGTTTGTATTGACACATGTACATGTTCCGTTTTAAGCTTGAGATTTACCATAAACTATTTTAGGCTTTTTTTCTCAAGTTACCGTATACTACTCTTACTCCTTCTTATTTAATTCATATAAT